GAGAGCAGCGCGGGCAGCGAGGGGAAGTGGTGATGGATATAGCAGGAAACCTCCCACATCTCCCAATTTAACCAGAGGATGCCACAAACGACAGTAACTGCTGAGGCACCTCTGCAGAAGCTGCAGGCAGGCACCCAGCCTGCACCCAGCACCAGCACCCAGCACTCAGCACCCCGCATGCCTGTGCTCTGCCCAGGATTCAGAGCAGCTCCATGTCCATGTGCAAACACTTTGTGGACACGCACACACCCCATTGCAATGAGGGGCACTTGCAGTGTCTCCCCTCTCTGCACCTCTCAGCACCCCAAATCCCGCAGGACGGGGGGAGGCTGCAGGGGACATGCTCATCCCATCTGGTCCCAGAGCCCACGACCCTGACAGCTCTGGGAGGGGGTGAAGGGTCCCTGCTGGGGGGGTGAAGGGGTCTCTTCCCAGCCTGCCTGAGCGCCTGCCCCGCTCCCCAGACCTCGCTGGTTCACCTGCTCAAGACGGTGCGGCTGCTGCGGCTGCTGCGGCTGCTGCAGAAGCTGGACCGCTACTCGCAGTACAGCGCCATGGTGCTCACGCTGCTCATGTCCATGTTCGCGCTGCTGGCCCACTGGATGGCCTGCATCTGGTACGTCATCGGGCGCAAGGAGATGGAGAGCAATGACCCCCAGACCTGGGACATCGGTGAGGGGGCTGCAGGGGACGGGGGCACGCTCAGGCAGCGGCGGGGGCTGCGCTGGTGCTAACCCCTGGCTGTGCTTGGCAGGCTGGCTCCATGAGCTGGGCAAGAGGCTGGAGGCTCCCTACATCAACAGCTCATTGGGGGGCCCCTCCATCCGCAGCGCCTACATCGCCTCCCTCTACTTCACCCTCAGCAGCCTGACCAGCGTGGGCTTCGGCAACGTCTGCGCCAACACCGATGCTGAGAAGATCTTCTCCATCTGCACCATGCTCATTGGGGGTGAGGAAGGGAGCGGGGCAGCACTTGGGGGGCTTCATTCCCCCCCCCCCCCAAGCTGGAGCAGTGGGTGCAGCAGAAACCTGGGCAGGGCACTGGGGGGGACGCGATGAACACATGAGGGCTGTAGGACAGCCCCGGGGCTGGAGGTAGGGGAGAAGTCCCCTGTGCTGCACCCCTCAGCCCCACGATGCTGGCAGGGGCAGAGCCCAGCCTTTGCTTGGGCCCCCTCAGTGGTTCTGATGCTGCCCTCGTGGTCCCCAGCGCTGATGCACGCCGTGGTCTTCGGCAACGTCACGGCCATCATCCAGCGCATGTACTCGCGTCGCTCGCTCTATCACACCCGCATGAAGGACCTCAAGGACTTCATCCGCGTCCACCACCTGCCCCAGCAGCTCAAGCAGCGGATGCTGGAGTACTTCCAGACCACCTGGTCGGTGAACAACGGCATTGATGCCAACGAGGTATGAGATATTGGCTGGGCTGGTCCAGCCCCTCTCCAGGGGCTGGCAGGGCCAGCTATGGGAGTGCCAGTGCGTGTGTGTGTTCATGTGTGTGCAAGCATGTGCAGATGTGCACATGTCCATGCTGGAGGGACCAGAGCTGTGCGCCAGGTGTATGGGGCAGGTTCCTGCCGGCACAGGGAGCGGGGCAGACCCATGGAGCAGAGGCAGCCCATCACTGCACCAGAGCTGCCCCATGTTTGCCAGCGGGGCGATGCTCTGCGTCGGAGGGGGACCTGTGCCCTGTCAGGGTGATGGGGGCTGCTCCTGCCACCCGCACCCAGCACCCGGCCCCGCTCCCCCCAGCTACTGCACAACTTCCCCGACGAGCTGCGCGCGGACGTGGCCATGCACCTCCACAAGGACATCCTGCAGCTGCCCGTGTTCGAGACCGCGAGCCGCGGCTGCCTCCGCTCCCTCTCGCTCCACATCAAGACCTCGTTCTGCGCGCCCGGGGAGTACCTGCTGCGCCAGGGCGATGCCCTGCAGGCCAACTACTTTGTCTGCTCCGGCTCCCTCGAGGTGCTGAAGGACAACGTGGTTCTGGCCATCCTGGGTGAGGGCAGGCGGCGCGGATGCTTCCCCCGTCCCCTTCTGCTGCCCGGCCGGGTGAGGGGTCCGGGGCTCATGCTGCCAGCCCACCCCGGTGCCCTCCTGCAGGCAAAGGGGATTTGATCGGAGCCGACCTGTGCAGCACCGACCGGGTGATCAAGACCAACGCAGACGTGAAGGCGCTGACTTACTGCGACCTGCAGCACATCGGGCTGCGGGGGCTCTGCGAGGTGCTGCAGCTCTACCCAGAGTATGCCAGCAAGTTCACGGCCGACATCCACCAGGACCTGACCTTCAACCTGCGGGAGGGCAGCGAGATGGAGGTAGGTGCGTGTCCTCCCTCCCTGCGGCCACGCAGGTACGTCCTGTCCTGGTGTAACTCTGGGGAATTGGAAACCAGAGCATTTGCGGAGCAGGAGGCGGATGGAAGGCTTGGAAATGAGGATGGAGAGGACCGGGGGTCACTGCGGGACAGGCAGCGGGGCACAGCCCCCCCGGTGCGCAGGAGGCAGCGCCGGGGGGTGTGGGTTTAGTCACGCTGCCGGCTCTGGGATGTTCTGCTGCAGAAATAGCTCTGCAGAGCTTCTCCTCCCCCGTTTCTGCTGCTGGCTCTGCGCTGGCACGGAGCGGTACCCACAGCCCCAGGCCCTGCAGAGGTGGAGTAGGGGGTCGAGATCCTAGGCAGCCAAAACCCCAGCACATCCATCACCAGGGAAAGGGATAAATAATCCAGCGGTGGAGGATGCAAATGGAGCCTGGCTCCCGTGGGAGCTGATGCTCTGATGGGATTTAGGGTGCAGCCTTGGCTCTGGCTTGGGATACACAGGCCGAGGTTGGGCAGTTCCTCAGTGTCGTGGCAGCAGCAGAGAAAGGAGAGCAGGCGAGAGGCTGCGGGGCTGGTGCTGGGGAAGGTTTGGTTGTGCAGGGGTGGCACGGGGAGGCCGGGAGTGCTGAATGCTGAGGCGAGGAGCGGGGCACACGCCCGGCGCTGTCTGCCTGCAGCCGGCCCCCGCAGGGGTCCCGTGTGCCGCTGAACCGGTGCCGTCTGCTCTCCCCACAGGGGCTCTGCCGCTACTCCCGGTCCCCGCGGCTGCCGAAGGCTCCGCAGGTCTGTGCTGCGCCGGGAGCGGGAGGGAGGAGGCCGGGGCCGGGGTGGCACCAGCCCTGACTCCCCCCCCCACCCTGCACCCACCCGCAGCCTCATCCGGAGAGCGGTGCCGCCCCCGGGAAGCCCCTTCCCTCCGTCCTGGAGGACGAGGAGGAGCCGGACGAGGTCTTCCAGCGCTCCCCTGCCACCATCGCCCGCCGCAAGCTGCTGCTGCCGCAGCTGAGCAGCCCGGCCCGGCGCGGCTCCCCCAGCAGCCTCCTGGGCGATGAGCTGTGCCAGGTCTCAGCCCTGCGGCGCGACTGCCGCTCCCCGGCCCGCTGCAGCCGGGGCCGCAGCCCCTCTCCGCAGCTCCGCCGGGAGCAGGAGGGCAGCGCGGGCAGGAGGCCCCCCAAGCTCCTCATCCCCTCCCTGCACACCTACGGCCCCCCGGACCTCAGTCCCAGGTAAGGCTGGGACGTGCCCTGCTGCGGGTTTGTGCCGCTGGGAAGGGTGGCAAAGGGGCGAGGGAGTGACGAGGCTCAACCCTCGCCCTGTTCCTGTCCTAGAGTTGTGGATGGCATTGAAGACAACGGCAGGACGTCGGAGCCGCAAACCTTCTGCTTCAACGTGGACCCCCCGCTGCAGAGGGCGGCGAGGGACTCCCCTACCTCAGGTACCTCCGCGGAGCCGGGCAAGGCCTGGGGCACTGGCCGTGGGGCTGGGGGACTCAGCGAGCTCTCCGCCACCACTGGAAATGTCTTTCCCAGCAGGGACCAACGCGTGCAGCCCAGCCCTGGCGCTGGAAGCAGAGGAGATAAAGCAGAACATCATGAGGCTCAACCAGGAGGTGCGCTGGGGGCCGGAGGCACGGCCCCGAACGCACCGGGGATGCTCGGCCGAGGGGAGCTTCCCCCGGCGCTCACTGCTCTCCTTCCCCTTGCAGATCAACCACCTCAACCAGGAGGTTTCCCACCTCAGCCGGGAGCTGCAGCGCATGATGGAGCTGCTCCAGAGCCGCCTGGGCACCCCGCAGCCCCCCGCCTGCCCCTACCGCCTGCCCCCTGCAGCCCCTCGGCCCCTATCGCCCCCGGTGCCCCCTTCTCCGCTCCCCGCTCCCCCCAGCTCCCGCAGCTCCCCCTGCGCCAGCCCCCCGGCCAAACGCTGCCCCGTCCGCAGCCGCTCGGCCCACGCCGGTGCCAGCCCCGCCGCGCACCCGTGGCTGGGGCCGTGCCCGCCGCGGGGGGACACCCCCAGCCCTGCACCCCGCCGGACCCCGGACTCGCCGCCCCTCACGCTGCCGCCCCGCTTTGCCCACTCCTTCCCCGGCTGCTCTGCCGGGGGCCGGTCCCGCATCCACCTGCAACCCCGCTCCGGCTCCTCCAGCTCCCACTGACCCCGCGGGCTCCGGGGTGGCGGCGGGGGGAGGACCTCGCCATGGGGACCCCTCTCGGCGGCCCCGCTCTCTCTGACCTGGCCACCGGCACCCGACCCCCCCCCCCCCCCCTCGGGGCAGCAGCGGCCGGAGCGGGGTCACCGCGCACCTCCCGCCCGCTCCCACGGGAGCGCCCCGGGATGCGGCCCGGCACCAGCAGGGTTTTGATCCGGTTTTGGACTCCGTGCCCGCGGGGTGCCCGGTGCGGGGGTCCCGAGGTGGGGGTCGGGGGGGTCCCTCCGCTCCCGCCCCGCCCCCTCGCAATAAAGTCTCTATTTTTCCACCCCGCTCCCGCTCCGTCTCTGCCCGCCCCGTCCCGGACACCCCCCCCCCCCGGACTACATCTCCCATCGCCCCCCGCGGCGCCGCCGGCACGCCAGGCCGCCCTGCTGACGTCACGCAATGGGGCGGAGCTACCTGGGTGGGCGGGCGGAGGGTGATTGGCGGCTGGTTCTACCAATGGGCTGCAGGCGAGGGAGCGGAAGGGGTGGGCGGATCCGGAAGCGGAACGGGTAAAGGCGGAAGTGAGGGCCGGGGCCTGCGAGACTCACCTGCGGCGGGGAGCGGCGCTCCGGGCGGTGAGTGCGGCCGGGGGCAGGGCCGGCACCGCGGAGGGAGGCGGCGGGGGGCTGCGGCCTTGGGGGCTGCTCGGAGCGAAGCTCCGGGTCCCGCTCGGTGCCCAGGAGCGGCGGGTCCGGGTCCGGCCCCGGGAGCGCGGCCGCAGCTGTAACGGGGAGCGGGGCAGCGCTGGTCGGGAGGAGCCGCGCGGCCGCGTCGGGCTAGGGGGAAGCGTCACGTTTGCATTGGGGGTTCCCTCCCGGAGCCGGACGGGCTCCGTGCGCGGGGCGCAGCGGGGCCGATGCCGCCCGTTCCCGTCTCCTTTGTGTCTCGGGCGGCAGCGGCTGTTGGGAGGTGAGAGGGAGCGTGCGGCGCGGTGAGGATCGCGGTGGGGCAGTGCTGCGTCCTGCCCAGGCGGGGGCTGAGGTGGGAGTCGGAGCTCCGGGGGTCTGAGCGACCGGGCAGAGCCGCCTGCGTGAAGGAGGTGACTTTATCTGCTGGGTGCAACGGGGACCGTTCTGGATGGCTGCTGGTGGCGAGCGCGGCCCCTGTCACCCTCTAAGAGGCACTCGTGAAGTGAAATCCGCGGTGCTGCAGCCTCTCGAGCGGGGCACCAAGCCTGCAAGGAAGTTTTGTGGCTCGCCTGGAAGGAGACGCGGGTGTGCTCACGAGCAGCGGTGTCCTGGGGTGCTCAGCGCAGTGGGAGACCGCCCTGCACGGGAGCTGGGAGCTGTGCGTGAGCCTGCAGCGGCGGCCGGCAGTGCGGGTTGGAAGGGAGCACCGGCTCCTGCGGGAGCGGCTCAAAGCTGGCGGTGCTCGAGGCGCTGCTGTAACTCCTGGGGCTGGGTGGGAGCTGAGAGGAGCTGCTCCCTGGCAGCAAACTGGGACGCTTACTGTAAACTGGGCTGCCAGCGAGCCTGAGCCCAGCGCTGACCCCGGCTCAGCTGACCTTTTGTGTGTGGCTGGGGCAGGTCTGACCTTGACTGCTTCCAAGCGTAAGGAAATCGGAGGGAAGCGGCTATGCCAGGTCCTATTTTAAGTCCGACGTGGAACAACTTGCATCTCCTATTCTTAGCTCTTTGTGTGGTGGGTCAACACATACTTGAGCTGCCCTGCTTAGAGGGTGACATCAGATCTGCTGTGCGCTGGGTTTGGACTCCTGAGCTTGTGCTGATGGCAGGACTCTGCTCGGTTGAGACCAAAAAAAGGAAGAGGCTTCTGATTCACATTGGCTTGGCATACTGTGCTGAGTGAACTTTCTGGGAATAGCCATTAATACTCACTACTGCCTTGACTCCAAAAGTTTTCTATGGTTTTCTCTCAGCTGAGCTGGTTAACAAGGTGAAAGAAATGGGACTGAAGAGCCTGAAGGATTCAGAGTAGTGTGTGTAGGCAGCTGCAAAACAATGCTCATCTTAAATGCATTCATGAGGTGAGCAGGTAAAGCACGGGCCTATATAGACCCATAAGGGGAAGAATTAGATTCAGTAACTGGGTCTCAGTGCTGGAATAATCTCACACTTGGGGCTCAACAGTATGCCCAACCAGTCAACTGCTTTCATAGCAATCAAATCTACCTTTAAAGGTGATCCTCCCCCTAAGATGCTCCGGGCTGATTGAGACAACACTGGGTTTAAGATAGTGCCAGGCAGTGGTGGTCCCTCGAGGCTGTTCAGGGGCTGGTACCCTTCAGGTGAGGGAGGAAGATGGGATGGGACTCCTGCAGAAGGGTTTAAGTTACTGGAGAGCAGTGAGGGGGAGGCTGGCTTGCTGTGGGGATGCAAATAGAGTAAAATACAGCACTTGTCTAGGTTTAGTAACCTAAATGGTTTAGTCCCATTTGCTTTATGAGTGAAGCCCATAAGGAGCTGGGCAGTGTCTGAAACAAAACTGTCTAGTGATGTATTCATGCCTTGCATGCTCGGCCAAACTTAATTGTTGGGATGAGAAGTGGAATTACCTTCATCACAGCAAAGCTCTTCTGCTCCTGAAGAGGGATCAGCTTGAAAATTGCTCTAGGCCCTGCTGGTCATCAGCTCTTGATCCTGGCTTCAGGTGTTTAGTGGGTAGGTGGTCAGGGCATCTCCCTGAAGAAGGAGGGGGAAAGAATGCCAAGTGCTTTCAGACACAGGAAATGAAATGGGAACGCTTCTAATGAAGTGGGTGTAGCCCAGAGTATTTCGGTCAGCATACTTGAAACAGGGTAGAAGGTAGAAATGGTGGAGTCAGCTCTTTCCTTCCCTTGGGGTATGAAGTTTGAAGGCCTCTTATGCAAGTTCTGTGAAGTTGTCAGAGTAACACGATGAAAACACTCCAAGTGCTAGCCAGAGACAGTGAACCTTCCCGAGAGGGGCAGTGCTGGGGGAGAATAAAGCTTCATCTCCATCCTGAGAGGAGCCCTCTCCTCCCCTGGAGCCCAGGAATGAGCTGCTGGAGTAGCTCTACATAAACAGATAAGAAACCCCTGGGTTTAATGTTTGCTTTTATTTGGTAGAGCTCCAAATAAGGAGCTGCCAGAGGCAAGTCTGGAAAAGATATTATGAAGGTCACTGATTCTCTTGCGGGGAAGACGGCAGTTTTGTGCTTTGCGGTGTCAGTGATCTTGCCTTCTTGTTCCCAGAATGGTGGGTGTTACCTAAAGGCACACACTGCTGGATTTCTGGGTTATTAAACTGGCTTTTGAGGGCATGCTGAGCAAGGGGCACGTGCAGGAGCAGGGGTTCAAAGACCCTTGCCTGCACAATTAAACACTTGGTGCTTTTGTTCCATTTGCAGCAGGTCCAGACTGTGCTCCTGAGTTGCTCCTTCGGCCTCACTGTGCCTCATCTGCTGCGCCATGGGCCCAAGTCTTTGCAGTGTCAAGGATAACCAGAAGTACCTAAGCCTGGCTCCACTCTCTGTTTCTCTGTTCAGCTGTGGTGATCTAAGAGGACAGTAACAGCAGTTTTAAAAGCAATTAGTCATGCTCTTCTGCAGAATTAACCCCCCTACTGGGTTAGACATGGAACTTCCTTGCGCTGCCACTGTGACCAACATGCTAATAACTGTTGCTGCTGATACCTAGTCAACTGTGTGAGCACTAAAAACCTGTAGCTCCAAGGCAGCATCAGGAAGTGGAATGTCTTTGTACCTCGTTGGGTGTTCTCAAGAATTCCTGGTAAAGAATAACCACTTAACACCCTCCTGAGGGGATGTGGATGGGGTTAAACTGGCTAGAAGAAGGCTTGAGGGAGCTTGATGCCGCCCTTTCACCCAAGTGCTGCCCATCTTGCCACAGTCCTGTAGGCTGGCATCTTCCAGAGTCAGATCAGCTCTGGAGGATACACGAGTGTTCCTGGCTTAGCTTTCAGGTGGCATTTAGCAAATGTGCTTTAAACTGAGCAGTCCCTTTCTGTGTGTGACTGTGTTTGGAGCTGCCCTTGACTCCAGATGATCACAGCACTGCCTGCTCAACAAGCGCCTGCGGTGCCATCCTGCAGGCTCCCTGCACACAGCCCCTTGCTGGGCTGAGCGGTGGCTGCAGCCTGGTGGCCTTGAAGGCTCAGATAGGGTTGTTTTGGAAGAGCTTCTGGGGCTGCTTTGGGGGCTGTGGCTTTGCAGGTGTCGGGAAGCAGATGGGTGTATCAGAAGCATGGGAAGGAGCTGGGCTTACCGATCTTGCTACTCTTGTTCAGGGCTGTAGCTACCAACTAAAAGTAATTTAACTTTTTGTTAATGTAAATCCTGTTTAGCTCTAAAGTAAAATGCAGTTGCCAAAGTATTTGGGAGGTTTGGGCATGAGACTCTCTAGAAGAATTGTGACCAAGCTGATTTAGGTCTGTGAACCTGTACTTTAAGGCTGTTAGAGCAGCTCCTGACAACTGCAATGGCTAGTTCCCAATTCAGAGCTGCTACTGAAGCTCTGGGTTACAGCCCTGCTGATCCAGACACTGAGCCCTTTGTTTGTGGAGGGAAGTGCATGTTGCCTGTAGAAAGATGAAGTATTAAAACTGATCAGACTTTACGGGGCTGAGGGACTGGGGTCATCAATGTGTTTCCTGGCTCATCTCATCTCCTCTCCAAGAGCTGGGTCTGTGGCTCTTTCCCCTGCAGTGTGGAGAAGCTCTCACAGTGTGTTGGATGCTCAGGTTGGCACCTTGTGCTGTGCTCATCCGGGCTAGGGGAGTCTGTGGTGTTCTGCTGGGTCTCATTCTTGCTGAGTGAATCTGGGTCCCGAAGCTGACTGCCTCTAGGGTAGGAGCAAGGTAGCACAAGCTTCCTGCTGGTGATGGCCGGCTGCCCATTCGGTGTGAGGTGAAGCAAAACCACTCAGTAACTTCAGGGCTTCCTTTGCCAAGGAATTCATGTAACACTGTCAGCTATTTAACAAGATAAATACTTCAGTGGGGCTTTTGTCTTGAGGATCTTGATTCTAAGCCAACAAATCCCTGGTGAAACGGCCTCTTGCATAGCTCTGAGCAGAAGCAGCCCTCTCGGGTTACTGGATTCTTCAGGATTGGGTTTCTAGCTCTCACCAGCTTTCAGAGGAGTCCTTGCTGCTGAGTGGACACAGGGCAAAGGCATCGGGTTCTGTTGTGCTGTTCTCGAGCATCCCAACAGCTCTGGAGAGCTGCCTTGCTCTGGGAGGGGCTGGGAGTGCAGCAGTGCCTTCTCATTCGGGGCTCTCCAATCCTTGGGCTCAGTATTCATGGAGTGCAGCAGATCCTGTCAGACAGGGAAGTGCTGAGAGGTGCGTAAACCACGGAAGTGTGATAGGCTTGGAGGTCTGGACAGCATCAGGCATTGAAACTGAACCAACCAACCAAGAGCCTGTGCCCAGAGTTCACAATAACAAAGCTGGGGCTTTTGCCCGTGTGCCGCAGAGCTCCTGCGTGTGCAGGGGGCAGGTATAGGGCAAGCAAAGCAGCATCACCTTCGTGGGGCAGGCTGCACCTTCAGCCACTTCCCCCCCTTGGCATGGTGGCCCTGTAGTTATTTCGGTCTGGCTGACCTGCGGCTCGAGCATGACCTCGTGTTCTCCTGGGCATCTTCCTGTGGACATCAGCAGCAATGCTGAGCTGCTTGTCCTGGTCTCATGGATGTGCTTAGCCCGAGACCCCCCCCCGGGAGCAGTTTGGGCCATCTGAACTGCGTCAGTCCCACCCAAACCATCCTGAAGGTCTGGCAGCATCTCATGGGGATGTGAAGTCCCGGAACCTCAAACCACCTTTAGGGGATGATCAGGTTCTCCAGAACTAAAAGTTGCTTCGCTGCTTGCTCTGGTCAGCAGCAATCCACGATGACCTGGCCATGCAGACACGTTTGCCTAGTTCTGTTTGGGTTCCTGTAGCACGACCAGATGGAGACATGGATGGAGATGTGTGAAATATAGGTCGTGGCAAGACTTGAGGATGTCACCGAGCTCACTTCCTTGTTTTGCTCTGGGGATCACCCCTATCGTGTTTCAGGAGGTCATAGCTGGGCAGAGGCATGATTCACGTGGCATTTACTGTGCCGAGTGTTAGTCTGAAAGAGCAGCAGAGCTGATACAGACTGCCCTGCGAGAGGAGGGCAAGGTTAAACAAGCAAAAGCTGGTCCCTGGTAAACCCTGCTTAGAGGAGAAACTCAAAGGTGGGAAGCTTTTCAGGCTGATGGTCTTGAACCTGGTGGCAACCAGAGCTGCAGAGTGCTGCTTCCTCACTGCCCAGCAAAACAAGTGGCTAATTTGCTTCCTATCCAGCTTTCTCCTCCGATGAAAGCAATGTTTTTCACTGACTTAACCCAGGTCATTGAAAGCAGTGGCTTCTTCACACTCAGGCTCCTGAAGCATCTTGCTGCACTGATGTTACTCCTGGTTCCTTTCTGGCTTCAGTGATTGGTGCTGGCTAAAGCAGGTTTCTGCCTTGCCTCCTGCTCAAACCAATTTGAGGTTCAGTGCCTCTAGGTGAGAGGATGCAGGAGTGCTTTTGTGTTTTGAATGCTGCAGAGGTTCTCCTGCCCATGGCACTAATGGGCTGTCCCTGGGGGTGAGCTCTGACTGAAGTGGCTCTGTGTTTCCTGTCAAACTCTGGAGCTGAACCTCACAGCCAGGCAGGCTTAGCCCTGGAAAGCAGGTATTGGACACTCTCCTTTGGTAGGGAGGCAGCCCTGAGCCTTGTTTTTCCAGTTCAGGCCCATTTCAAGCTGCTTTGAGCTTTTTCTTTGTGGAGAGATGCTGAATGTACTCGGAGCACACCCGGAGTGACTTTGGGGGTACACTCAGAACGAGGAGAAATTGTCTTTGGGGGGACTCTTTGCTGTCTGTCAACCAGCAGCTTGGGTTATGAGAGCTGAAGGGAAAGAGGCAATGCAGAGCAGATGCAATCAGTTGTAGCATTTCTCATTGACAGGAAGTGGGAGTTGTGATGAGTACAGGAAATATGCCTAAATCTGTGTAACTGCGCTCGAAGTACTGCTGTTCTCTGCTGGGTGCAGTAGAGCTAAGTGCTTGGGAAGGCACCGAGGCTTCACGTGTGGTTACTGTGGATGAAAACCACCTTGTCTTGCTGTTCTTGCGATGGTTTTGTGCTTCTGCCTGCCTTCTGCTCTAAGGTGCAGTATTTAATGGCTTGGGGTGAGTGCCTCTAAGCTGCAGCCTACCTATAGAGACCGCCTTTGAATGCCTCGTGACCCGAAGGACTGAGAGGCAGCACTGCTTACGTGTGGCACTTGACCACCCCTGCACTGCATTGGTAGTCTGGAGTTGCTGCCTTGGGAGTTCAGGAGAGGAGGAAGGAGCTAAAGGTCAACCTCGGTTACCTCTGTGAGCTGAGTAATTGTTGTTCCAATAGATGAAGCTCTAATAACAGCACTTGGTGTGCTGGCTGCTCTCTACCTGCCTCACCCCAGCAAGGTGAGGCAACAGCCACACGCAGTGGAGGTGGTGGGGAGGGAAGGTTGTGTTGTCAACATCCCTTCTCCAAGGAGGCTCGGGAGACCTGGGATGCTGCTGAAGGAGCTGCTCACTGACAGTGGTGCTGTGGTGCTGCAGCTCATAGCTTACCCCCATGGGAAGGAGGCCCCACCTGCCTGTGCTGGTGGTGGCTGCAGGTCAAACCCACCCTCTAGACCTGGTCCATGACTGTGCCCCTCACTCTCCCTTCCTCTTCCAGTTGCAACCTGCCTCCAGGTGGATCCCAGCACAGAACCTGCAGCATCCTTTAACTCTCAGCACCCCTGCGCTTCGGCCACCATGGCAGGGCGAGGTGGAGCTGCTCGACCGAATGGCCCAGCAGCTGGGAACAAAATCTGCCAGTTCAAGCTCGTCCTGCTGGGGGAGTCGGCGGTGGGGAAGTCCAGCCTCGTCCTGCGCTTCGTCAAGGGGCAGTTCCACGAGTACCAGGAGAGCACAATTGGAGGTGAGGCCGATGCCAGGTGCCTGCAGCCCAGAGATGCCTCCTGAACGTGCTCCAGGGGCATCAGGAGTGCTGATGGCTGCTGGGCTGAGGCTTTTGCTGTCGGTATCAGGCAGGCAGTGCTTTACCTCTCAGTTTACAGTTTGTTTGTTAGTGTGGAGATCACCACAGGATAATGCTATGGCAACCGTGTGCTCTGCCTCTGAGGCATCTTCACTTCCAGAGCTTGAATTCCTGCTTCTAATTAGAACTGATGCCTTCAGCTTGGTTGATAGCCCTTAATTATCTCTTCAGAGCATGACCTGGGATTTGGGGGCTGTTTCTAGCCTGATACTCTTAACTACTTCCACAGCTCTTTCAGGTCTAGTTCTTGAGCTTGACATCATTAGCACGGTGTCACCAATCAAAGGTCAGTCAGCACCTGGGCCTCTGGGCAGTGATATTAGGAGGTATGTACTGAGAACAGGCTTCATTTATCACTCTAGTAACCCATGAAGAGAGTAAGTAGAGCTGTAACTATAGCTTATGGGCAAGCAGGGCTTAATGCTCTGCTGCAGAGGGTCATGTGGGCATTCTGCTGTTCTTCAGTCTGTATCTCGGGCTGGTTGCTTTTCTCCTGGATGTAACACGGGGTATTATACTTGCTGGAACAAGAAAATCACCAGTTACTAAGCTGGGGAGTACAGTGTAACTGAGCTGACTTCAGTGCTTTGGCACTCTGGTGCTCTCCAAAGCTAATCCTGCTGGTGATGCAGCTGCACTGGGTGATGTGTGAGGAGGCTGCTGGGCAAGGGACTGGCAGCGCTGCTGCGCCCATGGCTGGCTGGTGCCCAGGCTCTGGGGGCCACCTTCCTGCCGGCTGTGGGGTGGCTCTTGGGCTCCTGTGTGCAAGGAGCGGGTGATATGGCAGAGCTGTGACTTCACAGCAAGCAGCTCTGCCCTGGCCCCTGTCTGGGGCTCCTGCTGCCGAAGCAGAACTGCTGTGAGCTCCTGGCTCCTGCTGCAGGGCTCTCCGGGAGGAGCTGAGGCAAACATGGACCTTCTCTTTCAGCTGCCTTCCTAACACAGACGGTCTGCTTGGATGACACAACGGTGAAGTTTGAGATCTGGGATACAGCAGGACAGGAGCGGTACCACAGCCTGGCACCCATGTACTACCGGGGTGCCCAGGCAGCCATCGTTGTCTACGACATCACTAACACAGTGAGTACTGGGCAGGGCTGGGGGTCTCTGCTGGCAGGAGGTGGCTGTGCTTGCAGCTGATGCTTCTCAGCTCCCTGGAGAGTGGCTGGGTTCAGAGTCCCTGCAGATGCCTGCCTGTAGGTGCTGAGTGTCTGACAACTGCTCATGGCCTCTTCCTCACTTGTGACCAAGGCTGTCTAAGCTGATAAAGGATCCTGCTACAAAGTGCTGTAGAGGCAGAAAACTTCTTACAGGAAAGACTTGTTCTAATCATATCTTCACTGTGGATTAATAAGAGGCTGCCCTTCCTTACTGCTGCCTCCTGTTTGCTTCCAGGACACATTTGTACGAGCCAAGAACTGGGTGAAAGAGTTGCAGAGGCAGGCTAGCCCAAATATTGTAATTGCACTAGCAGGAAACAAGGCAGACCTTGCTACCAAGAGAGCTGTGGACTTCCAGGTGAGTGGGAATCCAGATCAGTTGTTACCCAAGCAAGTCAGGGAAGCAGCTGTTTGCTTAAGTGGGGGAGAGGGTGGCTATGTCCACAATGCTTTGAGGGAGAGTGGAAGTCGAGGTTTAATGCTGCTCAGGACCCCAGGATGCCACCTAAAGCAAGCTGCAGCCTGCCTTTCCTGTGTGCTCCTCTTGTTGGTAGCAGTTTGTACTTGTAGCTCTCGTTGGTCATGGTTTGAATGTAGAATAAGGCCCACAGAGCACAAGCTTCTGTCTTCAGTTTCTCCTGGTGCCTTACTCATCCAGGGCTGTCTTCAGCAGGGTGTGAAACAGCATCTTTTAGGTACAAGACAAGTGAAGAACCATTCCCAGCTTGTTCTGCCCTTTGGAGCTCTTACCTTGTCTGAGGCAAACCTTCAAGGAGAAGCTCTTATCTCAGACCTCTGCACAGGCTGGCTGGTGGTGCATTGACAGGCTGTATTTCCCCCACCTAACCAAAGTACAAGGTGGTGTGCTGCTCAGGGCAGGCTGTGTGCACCCTGGCCTCAGGGGGCTCACAAGCAGCCTGCTCTGCTGTTCCCCAGCCAGGCTGTTGGGATGTTGGCCATGCAGCACTGGTTGTGTGTGTCTCCCCAGGCAGGATCAGGGTGCTGGGGTGTGGGGGGGGAATGGCCTGGAGTGGGACAGAGCTCCTTTAGTGGTTGGTTTGCCAGCAAGTGAAGCATGTGAAGCCTGCTTGGGCCTCCTGTTGGCAGGGTGCCTTTACCACTCCGACGTGGTTGTTTGTAGGATGCACAGACGTATGCAGATGACAACAGCTTGCTGTTCATGGAGACGTCTGCGAAGACAGCGATGAATGTGAATGAAATCTTCATGGCAATAGGTAACAGCACGTGTGCTGCAGGGTGACTGGGGTAGCTCGGAGCCACCAGCCCTGCAGCCCTGTGGGTACCATGGGGGCTTCCCGTCCCTGCTGGGTTGGAGGAGGCTCTGGCTGGAGAGGACCAGCTTGTAGCGGTCACATCCCTGAGTGGTTGGAGCCTTTGCCCAAAGCCTCTTCCCTCTCCCAGTATCTGGGTGTTAAGCAGGGAAGGAGTGGGGTTGATCGGCAGCCAGCGCTTGGAACGGGTTTGTTTCCTACCCTCCTGCTGCTGGCAGTGCCCAGTCCCAAGCTGCTGCAGAGGATGGGGCCGAGCCGAGCTGGGTGTGCGTGGAGTGGGGTGGGTTTGGCCTCGGCACCGGAGCCACCTCACGCCTGGTTTCCTTCCAGCCAAGAAACTGCCAAAAACCGAACCCCAGACGGCGGCGGGCGGCGCGGGCCGGAACCGGGTGGTTGACCTCCAGGAGAGCAGTCAGCCCAGCAGGAGCCAGTGCTGCAGCAACTGAGCGGGCGGCCCCGCTGCCGGAGCCCTGGAATGACGTGACTGGAATCCACGCTAACAATCGCACTTAACCGTAGAGCGGCCGCTGCCCGTGGCCGCTGTGATTTCTCCATCCCTTTCTGATCATAGGCTGGAGGGAGTTCTTCCACCTGCACCTTTCTGTACAAATACTAATTCAATTCTAAGTCTTAAGTCACTTTTTTAATATATGAACTTCTGCTCTTCCCTCTTCCTGGTGGTGGTGGATGCACGACCTGGTGCCTGCCCAGCCCTTCAGTGAGGGGGGGGTCCCGAGGCACCCAGGTCCCACTGTACTGTAGTTCACTATTGGAAACAAAGGGATATTGAGACTAGACAGCCTTGTTTCAGATCACCTGTATGTAAAAGCTGAGGCTAATCCCGGTATGATACGCCTAGAACAACCACTAAACTGTAGCATTAGAGTGACAAACTCTGGCTCTTCAGCCACTTATTGACCAAATCAGTGATGAGTATTCTGGGGTGGGGCAGAGGGAAGCGAAACTGGTTTCTTCTGTATTTTGTATTGTATGTTTCTTCATGTAACCAATCAGTATCTTGTCAATATAGTACATCCAACGAGCTGCCTGTTGTCTTTCTTTGTGTTGGACTCCAGCATGCCAACTCCTCTTTTCTATCTCCGGTTCTGTCACAATGCACTAATCCTGTTGCAACTTTTGCAAAAGAAACGAAAATCTTGTATAGAAAATTGTCCTTTTTTTGATGGTTGTGATGCCACTGATGTTGTTAACCCTGCTCTGAATCCACAGGGGTGACGGCTGTACAGAGGTGGGGTGGGGGAAGCCTCGGATAACGATGTATTGCGAAAGGCTGTAATTCCACACAGTATGAAGGGAGGTATTAAAATGGCTTCTGTTGCCAGACTCTAACTGATGTTGGCTGCTGCCTAGTGCCTAATGCAATGTCTTATGCACACTGGTATTTAAGAGGAACTGTCGACTTAGTCTTCATCACAAACTTCAGTTTTGTGTGATTAAAACAAGATTTTTATAAACCTTATCCCAATCACCAATGTTCATGTTTCTTAATCAGCTCAAACAGGAGGGGAGCAGAACCTAACGCTTGTGCTGGGCTTTGGGGGGTGGATGTACAACACCCTGCTCACCCATAGGGAAGCCTTCCTGGCAGGGAGGAGTGGGCTGTCCCCATTCCTGCAGCCGCAGCTCCACGGAGCAGCACAAACTCCTTACCATGGGGATGCAGGAGCCTGCGCTGCGCTGGAGGCAAATAGTGGGGATTACTCATTGCCTGGTACTTCTATAGGGAAGCTATGGTGCAAGTTGGGAAGAGGTGGGGAGCAGCATGGGGAGGAGCTCAGCTGCCAAGTGGAGGGGCTTGGGGATGCTGTGCTTGAGTACTGCTGAGCAGGGACCACCTCTGTGTTAGGATGAGAGCTTGGAAGATGCTGCTCTCCCGTCATTGCTGCGTGGACCCCCATGAGGGAGACCTGGAGTCAGGGTGGAAGACAGCGCATCCCCTGGCAGCTCTGCTGCTGCTGTGCTTGGCAGAGGGTGAAGGCTGGGATGGGCTGGAGCTGGAGCTCTGCTATAGCCCAAGTGCCTGCCCAGCCCTGGGGCCTCTGGAAGCTCTCTGGGGTACCTGGGAATGAAGCTGGCTGCGAGCAGCCTCAGCTCCTGGGGGCTTCATGCTCTGTCCAAGGGCTTGGTGCCTTTGGCTCCTGCTTTCATTCCTTAAAGCAAGCAGGAAGGGTCTGGAGGAAGTCGGGCACTGAATTCCTGATACCTGGAGCAGAGGCTCCTTCCTCTGTCGGAGGAACTCGGGCCCCCTGTGGGGGACACATCCGAGGTGTCCTTGCTTCCAGCAGGGTTTGGACTGGTGCTGCTGCTCTCCAAGAGATGGGTGGGCCTCTTGGAGAAGAGTTTCCCCAATCCCAACCGGGAACCGTCCCATGGACACCTGGTGCGGTGCTGTTGCCATCTGCTGGCTCCTTTTACTTGGTTCCTGGTTGCTGGGGCTTCGTTTCTGAGTCTCCATCTCTGTGATGGGGTCTGGCTGCTGCCTGAGTGTGCGCTGGGGACCTGGAGGGGGTCACGGAGCCTCCTCGCTTGATGCTCCGCTGCCATAGGGAAGGGCTGTGTGAGCTCAGAGCGGCTTTAGCACAAACAGGCGTGCCTGCCTGCGTGCGTGCATACCTGCTGCCTGCCCGGGCCTGAGCAGGCTGTTTATGCACTGCCTGGATTTGGGATTTGCCCTCCCTGATGCTGGGATTGCGGCAGCGGCTCCAGCAGCCCCTTTCCAAGCTGGGGGGGGGGGGGGGGGGGGTAAGGAGAAACTTGCTATAGTGGGGAGACCCCATACCCATCCAGGCTGCTCCATGTGGCTGTCCCCATTCAGTGGCATCATCCAGGGAGCAAGGGGCTATAGAGCTGGTGCTGGCAGTAGCATGAAGAGGGAGTGAAGGAGCCTGCTCCTAGGAGAGCTCTGGTTCAGGGGAGCTGGGTCCCCTTCTCTCTGCCTGGGGGATTCCTGCCAACCCCACCACGAGCAGCCTGGTGCTCGTAGGTCCCTTCCCTCCCTTAGGTCGGTCCCATTTTGTGCTGCCATGAGGCAGCATGAGGGGTTCTTCCCTCTCTGTCTGCCCAGCTCCGCTGGCACTAAGAACTGAGACCGGGACCCAGCCTCCCCATCGCCCAACACCAAGAGAGCACAAGCACGTTCCATGCAAAAGTATTTTTATTGGATACAAAAGCATTCCAGTGTAATGAAAACTGACATCAGTGATGGAGCTTGTCCGGGCTCACGCCCGGCACTCGCTCTGGTCCTGCCGCGGGCCGTCGGCTCCCTCCCGTTACGCCTGGGCTTTGGTGGCGGCTCCATCCTGGGCGGCCGCTCCGGGCTGCGGGGCTGCGGCGCTGACCTGGATGGGCACGTTCCTCTCCGGGGCGGCCGGCAGCGCCAGCCGGGGGGCCTCGATGCGGAGCTGCCCCTCCTTGGACAGGGAACACGTCAGCGCCTCGACGTCCACCTCCTCGGGCACGTCCCACTCCCGCTTCAGCACCTCGTACTTGTAGGAGAAGGAGCCCTTCTCGTCGACGTTCTGCGTCTCCTTCTGCCCCACCAGCACCACCTTCCTGCCCACCATCTTCACCGACAGCTGCTCGGGGGTGAAGTTCTTCACGTCCTGGCAGATGGAGAAGCCCTCCCCGGAGCTCGGGGCCAGGGCAGTGCTGGTGCGCTGGGCTCTCTCCAAGGCGTTGGCTCCTTGGCTGCTCAGAAGCTGCTCGAAGCTGCTCATGAACTCCCGGGCTTTCTCCATCTCCTGCTGCAGCTCGGTGAAGATGGTCTCTGCGTGGGGCCAGAGGGTCCTCACGGTGCCCAGCTGGGTGGCCAGGGCGCTGGAGGCGAATGGTGCGAGATGCATTCGGCAAAGCATCGCTGCTGTTATTATTGCTGCTGCTGCTGCTGTCGCTGTTGTCGCTGTTGTCGCTGTTGTCGCTGCTGTCCCCTCTTCAGCGGGCTGTGAGCGCTCTGCCCCGGCTCTGCTGCTCGCAGCTTTTATTTCCCTTCCCGGGGGGCGTGGCCTCACCCCGAAACATCACATCATCCTGGGCAGAAGAGCTCAGCTCTTTCCAGCCCGTTCCAGTTCATTCTTCTTACTCATCCACGAGGAGAGGCAGCGCTGACGTCGCGCCCAGCATACCTTTGCCCTTAGTCTTGCGGCTCTGCTCTCCTGCCTTATAATTAGCAGCATCACCTCAGCCTCCAAACGGGATGCCTGAGCCGCCCCTGCCAAAAATCTGTGGCCTTTCCAGCTTCCCAGGCAGGGTGCGGGGCCGGGCTCCTCTCCTCCCTGCCTTCTCCCCCCTCATCTGTGCCCTGATTCCCCCCAGTCTGCAGGCAGGGGAGCCCCCCTTTCCCCCTCCCACCCCTTTGCAGGACCCTCAGGTGCTTTGGGAGACCCCCGGCGAGACCAGGAATGGGTCCTGGGCCCCTCCCTGGGCGGGTGCTGAACGGCCGGGACAGGACCGGGGTCTGGAACGTGCGAGAAGCAGCGGGTGATGTAGGAACGCGTTGATTTGGGGCGGGACTGTCCCCGCTGAGCCCCCCTCTGCAGGGGCTCGTGGCCGGGCTTTGCTCGCCCCCCGGTCCCGGGGGTGCTGCTGTATCACGGTGTCTCTGCAGAAACCCGAGCTCCCCGCAGTGACCGCAGCTCCCTATTTGCGGCGTGTGACTCGTCCCTCGGAGCGGGCGCTGCTATTTCGGCTGCTGGATAATCAGCCTCTCAAAAATAGGCGATGGCTCCAGGAGGGTGCGTGGGGAGAGAGCGTTCTGGAAGGGGCACACCCCCGGGCAGGGGAGGATAAAACCCGCTGCTCCCGGCTGCACCCCAGCACCGCGACAGCCCCTGCACGGAGCAGAGCCGCAGCACACACCGGGAGCGCACACCGGGAGCACACAGAGATGCTTTGCCGCTTGCACTTCATGCCGCCCACCTCCAGCACGCTGTTCCCGTGGCTGGGACCCGTCCGCACCCTCTGGCCACATCCAGGCACCCTCTTCGCGGAGCTGGAGCGAGAGCTGCGGCTGGAGATGGAAAGGGCTCGGGAGTTCATGAGCAGCTTCGAGCAGTACCTGACCAGCGGGAGCAGCGCCAGCCGGATCGGCATCGCCGCGGAGCGAGCCCCCAGCACCAGCGCAGCCCTGACCCAGGGCTCCGGGGAGGGCTTCTCCGTCTGCCAGGACGTGAAGGACTTTACCCCCGAGCAGCTGTCGGTGAAGGTGGTGGGCAGGAAGGTGGTGCTGGTGGGGCAGAAGGAGACGCAGAGCACGGACGAGAAGGGCTCCTTCTCCTACAAGTACGAGGTGCTGAAGCGGGAGTGGGACGTGCCCGAGGAGGTGGACGTCGAGGCGCTGACGTGCTCCCTGTCCAAGGAGGGGCAGCTCCGCATCGAAGCCCCCCGGCTGGCGCTGCCGGCCGCCCCGGAGAGGAACGTGCCCATCCAGATGGGGCCGGCGGTGGCGCAGTCCACAGCCAACACCGACGACGGGGACGAGAGGGCCAAGGCGTGATGGGGAGAGGATGGGGCCGGGCTGAGCCCGGCTGCCGGGGCAGTCTCTGGCCGCAGGGCAGCGGCCGGGGGGGGGGCGGCTCTGCCCAAACCGTGTGGGTTTTTTTAGCTATTTAATAAATATTCGTGACTTTTATGTGCTCTTCTCTGTGTTCTTTGCACCGCTCCCGGCTCTGCCCCGCAGCCTGACGGCAGCCTGGGCATCAGACGGTGCTGGCGCCTCCTCCCCACCGTGCCTCGGCAGAGGAGGGCGATGGAGGGGCTGCGGCCACGCACAGCGCCGGGCTCCGGACCCGCATCTTCGCGGTGGTTCCGCGGCGCTCCCGGTCACCTTCACCGTGCCCCGGTGCAGCTGGCACCTTCCAGACCCCTCCGGCTCCTTCGCGTCTCGTCCTACCGCCAAGCCACGCCCCTTAGCAGCGATATGGGCGTGGCCTGCCATAAATGGGCAGGCGGGGCGGTCCCACTCCATATATGTACTCCCGGAGGAGGGGTCGCACTCCATTTCGGGCCAAGGAGGCGGGGCGAGGCGCTGCGGCCACACCCCCCGTGTTTGCATGGCGCGCCACGGCGAGGGGGCGGGGCATCATGCCAAATATGACTTGAGGGGGCGGGGCCCCGCTCCATATTTGGCGGAGGCAGCGGAGCGCGCCGTGAGCCCCGAGCTCCGCTGGACCGGGCCCGGGCCCGGTGCCGGTTACCGGAGGGGAGGCTCCCCGGGTAGCGATGGCCCCGCCCCGCTGGCCTCGCCCCGGGAGGGGCTCTGGGGGTGATTGGTCCCCGCCGGGCCCGGACCCCGCTCCTCCGTGCCCGGGTCCCGCTGCCCACAGAGCGCCCGCGGGCTCAGCCCCGGCCCGGGGCTGCGGGCGGCGTGAACGGGTCCCGGGAGCACCGGATCCGCTGCTCCCCCCCCACCCCTCCGGCCACCTCCCGCAGCGGCGGACTACGGATTCCCGGCGTGCCCGGCGCGCAGGCGCAGTGAGCGCGGAGCGCACGCCGGGCCCGGCATGGCGGAGCGGAGGCCGCGCAGCCCGGGCGGCCCCCGCCGGGACCGGGAGCGGCGGCGGCGGCGGCGGGGGGCGGGGGGGAGCGGCGGGGCTGGGAGCGGGGACGGCGGCGGGAGGAGGAGGAGGAGGAGGAGGAGCGGCGGGGTCCAGCGACCCGGCGCGGCCCGGGCTGAGCCAGCAGCAGCGGGCGAGCCAGCGCAAGGCGCAGGTGCGCGGGTTCCCCCGCGGCAAGAAGCTGGAGAAGCTGGGGGTGTTCTCGGCCTGCAAGGTGAGGGGAGAGGCACCGGGGAGCGGTGCAACGGAGGGAGGCGTGGGGGTGGCAGGGGCGAGGGGATGCGCGGAGGGATGCAGGATGGGTGCGGGGATGTGCATGGGGGGGGCAGGAGGGAGGGTGCAAGGATGCGCATGGGGTGTAGGAGGAGGGTGCTGGGCCATGCATGGGTGGGGTGCAGGGGCGAGGGTGCAAGGATGCGCATGGGGTGCAGGGTGGGGTGCTGGGCCATGCATGGGTGGGGGTGCAGGGGCGAGGGTGCAAGGATGCGCATGGGGTGCAGGAGGAGGGTGATGGGCCATGCATGGGGGGGCAGGAGGGAGGGCGCAAGGATGCGCATGGGGTGTAGGAGGAGGGTGCTGGGCCATGCATGGGTGGGGTGCAGGGGCGAGGGTGCAAGGATGCGCATGGGGTGCAGGGTGGGGTTGCTGGGCCGTGCATAGGTGGGGGATGCAGGCGGGAGGGTGCAAGGATGTGCATGGGGTGCAGGAGGAGGGTGATGGGCCATGCATGGGTGGGGGTGCAGGGGTGAGGGTGCGGGGATGTGCGGAGGGATGCAGGATGGGTGCTGGGCCGTGCATAGGTGGGGGATGCAGGAGGGAGGGTGCAAGGATGTGCATGGGGTGCAGGAGGAGGGTGCTGGGCCATGCATGGGTAGAGGATACAGGAGGGGAGGGTGCAAGGATGTGCATGGGGTGCAGGAGGAGGGTGCAGGGGCCATGCATGGGTAGAGGATACAGGAGGGAGGGTGCAAGGATGTGCATGGGATGCAGGAGGAGGGTGCTGGGCCATGCATGGGTGGGGGCTGCAGGAGGAGGGTGCTGAGTTGTTTAAGGGAACTGCCAGGACATCCATGGGAAGGTGCTGTGGGATGCTGGGCTGCACAGGGGCAGCTGGGAGAGGGTGTTCAGGCGCTGGCTCCTGCAGGGTGGGCGCTGAGGAGAGCTGGGGTGGGTCAATAGGGGTGGGTGGAGGAAGCTTTGCAGGGGGACTTGTGTGGCCGCTCTGGGACGCCTCCTCCTTGTCCCTCATCCCAGGCCAACGACGCCTGCAAGTGCAATGGCTGGAAGAACCCCAACCCTCCCACCGCCCCCCGCATGGACCTGCAGCAGCCGGTGACCAACCTGAGCGAGCCGTGCCGGAGCTGCAGCCACGCGCTGGGTAACGACCCCCCCCCCCAACCTTGGGGTGCCGGGGACCCCCCAGTGCAGGGGGAGCAGTGCTGACCCCCCCGTCCCGCTCTCACCACAGCAGACCACGTATCCCACCTGGAGAACGTCTCGGAGGAGGAGATCAACCGGCTGCTGGGCATGGTGGTGGATGTGGAAAACCTCTTCATGTCAGTGCACAAGGAGGAGGACACGGACACCAAGCAGGTCTATTTCTACCTGTTCAAGGTGCGTGTGGGGCTGGGCACTGCTCGTGGTGGTGCTTGGGCAGGGGTCCCTTGGCATTGCCGGGGAGCTGGGGTCTGGCTGTGGGTGTCCCCCCAGGACCTGGAATACCGACCCTGGGCTGGGAATGACTGCTCCCGGCCTTGAATTCCTCTGGGGGGGGGAGGTTTCTGGGGAAGAAATGGGCATCATGGGAGGTGGACCCGTTCCCAGGGCTTCAGTCACCGTGTCCCATGGTGTCCCCGCAGCTCCTGCGGAAGTGCATCCTGCAGATGAGCCAGCCTGTGGTCGAGGGGTCCCTGGGGAGCCCCCCCTTCGAGAAACCAAACATTGAGCAGGTGAGGCTGCTGTGAGGGTCACGCCTTGCACTGGGCACTGGTCCTGTGGTTTGCTGCTCTTGCACGGCCCGCTCCCTCTTTGGGTGGCAGCACAAATGGTCGGGTGCAGCACCCGGTGCCCTTCCATCGCCCCTTCGTCTCCCAGGGAGTCCTGAACTTCGTGCAGTACAAGTTCAGCACTTGCCGCCCAAGGAGCGGCAGACCATGTACGAGCTCTCCAAGATGTTCCTGCTCTGCCTCAACTACTGGAAGCTGGAGACTCCATCCCAGTTCCGGCAGCGCTCGCAGAACGACGATGTGGCCACCTACAAGGTCAACTACACAAGGTGAAGGTGGGAGAGGGGCCGAGCCTCCTCCTCCTCCTTCCTCCTGAACCCTGGCTCCTGGCATTGTCGCCTCTCCCCCCTCTCCTGGGTTGTTGGTCCGTTCGGAGAGCAGGCATCCAGTGGGACCCTGCTGCCAGACACATCATCCGTGACCCCTCAGGCTCCTGCTCTTCTCATCCCTGCTTCCCTTCCAGCAGTGTTGTCCCAGGAGGGATGCGGGGCTCCGGGGATGCTGGTCCCAACCCCGATCCTGGAGCCTCTTCCTGTCTCCTAGGTGGCTGTGCTACTGCCACGTGCCGCAGAGCTGCGACCGCCTTCCCCGCTACGAGACCACGCACGTCTTCGGGCGCAGCCTCCTCAAGTCCATCTTCACGGTCACCCGCCGGCAGCTGCTGGAGAAGTTCCGGGTGGAGAAGGACAAGCTGGTGCCGGAGAAGCGGACGCTGATCCTCACCCACTTCCCCAAGTAGGCGCCCGATGCGGGGATGGCTGCGGTGCGGCAGGGGAGGGTCCCCTCCTCGCGCACTGAGCGCGGGCGACGCGCTGCTCCCTGCCAGGTTCCTGTCCATGCTGGAGGAGGAGATCTACGGCGAGAACTCTCCCATCTGGGAGGCTGATTTCACCGTGCCGGCTGCCGAGGGGGCTCAGATGGTTTCTCGCCCAGGTATCGGGGAGCAGCTGTCCCTGCTCAAGGGGCTGTAGGGCACAGGGACGGGGATGCGGTGGTGGCCGGGTGTGAGGAGTCCTGGCACGCACGGGCATCGTTGGTCTCTTCCAGCCGCGGTCAGCACCGTGGCCGTGCCCACTGCTCCGCTCTTCAGCAAGAAGCTCAGCAACAGCAGCTCTGCTGCGAGCATGGACGCCAGCGCCCGGAGCCCCTGCCAGGTATGACCAGTGCAAGCAGGGACCTCCCTCGGTCCCTCCTCGTGCTGGACATGCCCTCTGCTCCACGCTGCAGGGGAGAAGAGGAAGCTGCCCGAGAGCCTGACGCTGGAAGATGCCAAGCGCATCCGTGTCATGGGCGACATCCCCATGGAGCTGGTGAATGAGGTCATGCTGACCATCACGGGACCCCGCTGCCATGCTGGGCCCTGAGGTACAGGCTGGGGGGTGATGAGGGGTCAGGCTCTGGGCTCAGGCTCTCCCTATGGAGAGGGTGGTGGAGCCAGTGACCCCCCCCCCCCAGACCAGCCTGCTGTCGGCGAACGCGGCGCGGGACGAGACGGCGCGGCTGGAGGAGCGCCGCGGCATCATCGAGTTCCACGTCATCGGCAACTCGCTCTCGCAGAAGTCCAACAAGAAGATCCTGATGTGGCTGGTGGGGCTGCAGAACGTCTTCTCGCACCAGCTGCCCCGCATGCCCAAGGAGTACATCACTCGCCTCGTCTTTGACCCGTGCGTGGCTGGGGGGGGGGGGTATGGGATGGGGCTGGTGGTGGGGGTCCCCTCTCACCCTCGGCCGTGCTGCCCACAGGAAGCACAAGACCCTGGCGCTGATCAAGGATGGACGGGTGATCGGCGGGATCTGCTTCCGCATGTTCCCCACCCAGGGCTTCACGGAGATCGTCTTCTGTGCTGTCACGTCAAACGAGCAAGTGAAGGTGAGAATGGGGAGGCATTTGATGGGCACAGCATGGGGGTCCCCAGCAGCCCTGTGGGGTGTGGTGGGTCCCGTGGTGGTGTCACTGTTAGAGCCCAGGGGTGTTCCAGACCCTCAGGTAGCTGGACCCCCCTCAGCACTGGCCGGTTCCAAGCAGCAGGAATTGCTCTGGGACATCTTCCAGTGGCCTGTGTCCATGGCTGGGAGGGGGCTGTGTGTGTCCCATCTGATGGAGGGGGTCCCCTCTCTCTTCCCCAGGGCTACGGGACCCACCTGATGAACCACCTGAAGGAGTACCACATCAAGCACAACATCCTCTACTTCCTCACCTACGCAGACGAGTATGCCATCGGCTACTTCAAGAAGCAGGTGAGCTCCGCCCTGAGGTGGCTTCCCCCGGCCCTCCTGCCTCCCACATCCCCCCTCATTTGCCTGTTCTCTCCTAGGCTTTTCCAAGGACATCAAGGTCCCCAAGAGCCGCTACCTGGGCTATATCAAGGACTACGAGGGAGCGACGCTGATGGAGTGCGAGCTGAATCCCCGCAATCCCCTACACGGAGCTCTCGCACATCATCAAGAAGCAGAAGGAGGTACGTCCTGCGGGCAGGGGAGGGGTGCTGGCCCTGGGCATCCATCCCTTGAACCTCCCCCTTTCCCCCTGCAGATCATCAAGAAGCTGATCGAGAGGAAGCAAGCGCAGATCCGCAAGGTCTACCCTGGTCTGACCTGCTTCAAGGAGGGCGTGCGGCAGATCCCCATTGAGAGCGTCCCCGGCATCCGTGAGTCCTGCCCGTGTCTGGGAGGGAGGGCTGGGGCAGGAGGGCTCCATCCTGCCCCACCTGCGGGTGTGGGGCGGATGTGGTGATGCTGACACTTTGTCTTCCAGGAGAAACAGGATGGAAACCCCTGGGGAAGGAGAAGGGTGAGTGCTGGGCTGCGGGGGCTTGGCTCGGGCTGCTCCTCGCTCCTGCGCTGGGATGGGGAGCTGGGGATGCTGGGAGATGGGGAGCTGGGGATGCTGGGATGGAATGAGACCGCCCACCCTGGGCACTGGGTTTGTCCTGCAGGAAAGAGCTGAAGGATCCGGACCAGCTCTACAACACCCTGAAGAACCTCCTGGCCCAGATCAAGGTGCGGGCAGGAGGGGACCCTGTGCTCCAGAGCCAGGCTGCCCTGGGCCATACCCCCAGGGGGCAGATGGGCTGAACCAGGCCTGCAGGGAGCAGGACCCCCGTGTGCTGGAGCTGCCTGCACTCACTGCTGTACCTTTCCTTCTGCCCTATCTCCAGACCCACCCCAGCGCGTGGCCCTTCATGGAGCCGGTGAAGAAGTCGGAGGCACCGGACTACTACGAGATCATCCGCTTCCCCATCGGTAAGGGGTTGTGCCCAGAGCCCCGGGTGGGATGGTGGAGGGAGGGCTGGACCCCCTGCCTTGGGTGCTCCGTGCTGGAGCATCATCACTGGGGCAGTGGGAGGCCCAGAACAGAGGGGGGGGGTTGAGTCAGGACTTGGGGTTGGTGTCCGGCCCCATGGCTGGGGGGTGCCCTGACCCTTCCCCATCTCCCAAGACCTGAAGACCATGACCGAGCGCCTGAAGAACCGCTACTACGTCACTAAGAAGCTGTTCATCGCCGACCTGCAGCGCATCATCACCAACTGCCGCGAGTACAACCCGCCCGACAGCGACTACTGCAAGTGTGCCAACACCCTCGAGAAGTTCTTCTACTTCAAGCTCAAGGAAGGGGGGCTCATCGACAAGTAGGGGAGCTGGCCCCGACCCGGGCACCGGCTCCCCATGGGAGGGACAGGGCTGCCTGTGGGGACCCAGTCCTGTGCTGCGGGCAGGGGCTGCTGGAGGTTTTGGTGCTGTGAGTGGTCTTCCTTTGGGGCATCAGGGCCTTGTATCCCCAAGCTGCTGCCTCTCAAAGGCTCTGGCAGGGGCAGTGCTGAGCTCCTGCTTCCTGGCACTGGTGCTTCCCTCCTCCCCAGGGTCGTGCCTTCTGCTGCCCTGGCTCTCCTCCACAGGGCAGGGGCACACAAGTGCTTTGGGTTTCTGTTCCTGTCCACGCACAGGCAGCCCCTGCCCGTCTTGTTGAATGTATGGTGGGGCTCAGCCCTGCCCGCCTTGGCCTGCAGGCAGAGATGCTGCTCGTGGTCCAGGGTCGTGCTGTGAGGGGATGCTCTGTCCTTGGCCCCCCCTTAGTTCCTGCTGCCTCGATCGGCTCTTTCCCTGCCTCTGCTCCAGACAGGGGCTCAGCTGCAGTGTCTACAGCCCCCTCCCTGCCTGCACAGCCCTCCCTGTCTGCTTCTGCTGCCCACTGGCGTGTTGGGTTCTGGCAGCCCGGGTCTGCTGTGTGTGTGTGTGTCCCCGGCATGGGGGTCAGTTCCTGCTCCCATCCCTTCTTGCTGTCCCCCTCTTTGGGTGCTGGGCTGGGGGAAACCCCAGTTGTCATCCGTCCGTCCCCCTCCCGGCTTGCTCCCCTCCTGCTGCCTTGTCCCTTGCGTTGTCATCCCTGGCTGGGTGCTGGTGCTGCTCCGCCCCTCGCCGGGATGGGACCGTCCCCTCCTTCCCCCCTCCACCCGTGACTTTTGGTTTGGTTTGATTTTGGTTTTTTAAATAAACGTCCTTGTGCAGGCCCAGAGCCGCGGCTGATGGGGGGGGGGGGGGGAGCCCGACGGGGCCAGCCCAGGATGGAGAAGGCGACTTGGGGGGGGGGGGGGGGGGGGCCGGGCGCGGCTCCGGGAGCTCCGTTCGGTTTCGGTTTCTGTTCTGTTCTGACTTGGGGGGTGCCGGTAGCGCGGCTTGGGGTGGGGCGGGTTCCGATGGGTTCCCTGCCCCGAGGTTCGCTTCCGATCGGTGGCCCCATGGGGCTCCGCGGGTACCAGCGGGACGCGGTGGCGCCGGCCCTCGACGGCCGCAACTGCATCGTGTGGCTGCCCACGGGCGCCGGCAAGACCCGCGCTGCCGTCTACGTCTGCCGGCGGCCCCTGGAGAGCCGACGGGGCGGGAGGGTGGCGGTGCTGGTCAACAAGGTGCCCCCCTCACCCCGGTCCTGCTTCCTGCCACCACGGGGCCCACGGGCCGGCTCTGAGCCGGGTGTCGCGGGTGCACTTGGTGGAGCAGCACGCCAAGAAGGAGTTCCAGGTGCTGCAGGACGCGTTCAGGGTGACGGCCGTCAGTGGGGACAGCAGCCACAAGGTGTTCTTCGCCGGCGTGGTGAGGCAGAGCGACGTGGTCATCTCCATGGCCCAGGTCCTGCAGAACGCGTTGGTCAGCACCCAGGAGGATGCGTGTCTGGAGCTGACGGGTGGGTGCTGCGCCCTGCGCCCCGCTGCGACCGCCCTGCCTCAGCCTCCGCCGCTGCCCGGAGCGTCCTGCTCCGCTCACCCCGATCCCTGCCTTTGCCCGGCGCAGAGTTCTCGCTGCTGGTCATCGACGAGTGCCACCACACGCACAAGGGAGCCGTCTACACCAAAATCATGGTGAATTACCTCCAGCGCAAGCTCGGCGGGCAGCAGGACCTGCTGCAGGTCCTGGGTCTGACGGCATCGCCTGGCACTGGGGGGGCACCCTCCTTTGAGGGGGCTGCGCAGCACATCCTGCAGGTAGGTCCTGCGTCAAGGTGGGATGCAGCGGGTGCTCCTCGGGGTGGCTGTTGATAACTTGGTGTGCAGACCCTGGGGAGGGCATCCCCAAGGCCGCCGGGGTGCTGCATTGCTGTGGGCTCAGGGCTGGAAGCAGGGTCTCGCTCCCTCAGCTCTGCGCCAACCTGGACACGGAGACAATCGCGTCGGTGCAGGAGGAGGCGCAGCAAGTGCAGAGCCACGTCCCGCAGCCCAGGAAGCAGTACGACCTGTGCCAGGAGAGAGCGCAGGTGAGGGGTGCTGAGCACCGGGACCATGTCCTTCCACCCGCTTAGCTCAGGCCAGGGTGAGGAACCGGTTGACCCAGAGCTTTGGTGTAAGGGTGCCATGCAATCAGCTCCTAACCCCAGGCTGTGCTCCGAGGCTGTCCCGAGGAGCACCATCCCCAGTTCCTCTGGTCCTGAGCCCCTCTCTGCTTTCAGGACCCCTTTGGCGAGCGGCTGAAGGAGGTGATGGAGCGGATCCAGCAGTACATGGGCATTCCCAGCCTGCCGCAGGACTTTGGCACGCAGCTTTACGAACAGAGCATCGTGGAGCTGGAGAACAGAGGTGAGGTGGAGCAGGGCCGGTGGGTGGCACACAGGGCCAGGCTGTGACTGCAGTGCCCGGCCCTCCCCAGCGGCAGAGAGGCTTTGCCGCCGGACGCGGGTGTGCGCGCTGCATCTGCGCAAGTACAACGATGCCTTGCTGCTCAAGGACACGGTGCAGATGCTCGACGCCTTCCAGTGCCTCCAGCAGTTCTATGACACCCAGGACGTGAAGGACCCCACCGAGCGGTTCCTCGGCGCCACGTTTGAGGGGGACGGAGGGGTTTGGAGGGGGTTGGGTGCTGTGTTTGGGGTTGGGGAGCCCCCCTGATGCCTTGCTCGCCTGAACAGAGAACAGGGCAACCCTACAGGCGCTTGCTGGGGACCGGCGCTATCAGAACCCCAGGCTGGACGAGCTGGAGGCGATCCTGCGGGGGCACTTCCAGCTGCTGGGTGCTTCTCGCGGCATCGTGTTCACCAGGACCCGTCAGGGCGCGCACAGCCTGCTCGGCTGGCTGCAGGACACGTCCTCACCGGTGCCGGTTACAGCAGCCAGACCAGGCCCATGACGCAGGTGAGCAGAGGTGGGGGGGGGGAAGGATGGGAGCAACCCCTCTGCACGCTGCGGGTGCTGCTGGGGCTCGGAGCCCCCGCGCAGCTGCTGAAGCATCGCCACGGTCTCCCCCCCAGCATGAGCAGCAGGATGTGATCAAGCTGTTCCGCAACGGAACCCTCAACCTGCTCTTCTCCACCAGCGTGGCCGAGGAGGGCCTGGATATCCCCGAGTGCAACATCGTGGTCCGCTACGGGCTGATGACCAATGAGATCGCCATGATGCAGGTCCCCGCGTGGGCTCCCTCCAGATGCTCTACCTGTCCCTATGGGAGGACATGGGGAGGGGTAAGGGGAGATCCAGCCATGTCCCTCCCTGCATCTTGCCCTTCTACTGCAGGCTCGGGGCCGTGCCCGTGCTGAGAACAGCGTCTACTTTGTCTTGGCCAAAGCCAACAGCAAAGAGGTCTCCCGCGAGCTGCTCAACGAGGAGCTCATGGAGCTGATGGAGAGGGCGATCAGAGCGGTGCAAGCCATGCCGGAGCAGGAATACCGCCTCAAGGTGCGTGCTGGGCGCTGCCCTGAGCACCAGGAGGGACAGGCAGCTCCTGCCTGTGTCTGCCGCTTGGGCACAGCTCCCTGTGCTCTGGTTTTGGTGGTCTGCTCTTCCCTTGGGATGCGGTAGGGCGAGGTGCATGGAGCAGTGCCTGCCCTGCTCCTCGTGCTCTCCAGGACACTGCGTCTGCCTGCAGCCCTGTCTCTTGCTGCCCGTGCCCATAGCCCTGCGCTGACCCTCCCCTGTCCAGATCAGGGAGCTGCAGCAGGCTGCCGTTGCCGGCTGGCTGATGAAGGAGGCCAGGATCAGCGAGAGGCAGCAGCAGCACGACCTGGATACCGTTCACCTTCACTGCATCAACTGCGGCGTGGCGGTGGAGGGCATGCACCACGTCAACGCCAACCCCAGCTTTGGGTAGGAGCTGGGTACTGGTAGAGACAAGCTGCTGCTCCCCCCATCCACGATGGGCAGGACCCTGCTGCCAGCTCCGTCTTGGGGACACCAGTCCAGGCGGGGTTCAGAGCGCATGTGGCTGCCTGTTTCTGTGCCCTGGCCCATGGTCCTGAGGGTGTCTTTCGGTCCTTTCCTTGCAGGTTGCACTACTGAGTTTCCTCAGGGAAAATCCAGTCCCAGAGGGCTTTCAAAGACTGGGAGCCGGGCTGCTGCATCGCGTGTAGTGGGTGCAGCCAGGTGAGTGCTGCAGTGCCTCTGGCTGAGGAATGGAGCTGTGGGTCCCTTCTGCACATTCCTGTGTGATGTGTGTGCTGCACACGTGGGATGCAGACATGGGCTGTTGTCCCCAAAGGGGATGTACCCCACTGCCGGCTGTGTGATGGTCCTCTCCCTGCCCACACAGGACTGGGGAATGGAGATGCTCTACCGGCAGGTGAAGCTGCCCATCCTCAGCATCAAGAACTTCGTGGTAGAGACACCAGCTGAGAAGAGGAGGTACAAGAAATGGAGGGCTGTGACATTCCCCATCAAGGAGTTTGACTACCTGCAGTACTGCTCTGACACCTATGGACAGTCCTTCTAGCACGGGCTCTGCTCCTTCTCCCGTCACCTTCGGCATTGGAGTCTCCATCCCAAGCCACAGCTTGCTCCTCTTTTCCTCACTGGCCCGAGCCACTGCAGCACATCCCTTTGCCAGAGCCTGAGACTGCAGGAGGAGACTTTGCTGTGCCCACGCAGAAAGGATGGGACCCTGAGATGGGAAAGCTCCCAAACCCTTCCCTGCCTGCTGGTGGCTGCTCTCCATGCTCCTGCCTTCCCCTGATGCCCCCCAGCACTGCTGGGCTCTGGGGCTGTCTCACAACCCTGCCGGTGGCCCAGGGGCCAGGGACGTGGCCCAGCATTGCTCTGGCAGCCTCCAGCCTGCTCCGTGAATGTGATGGTTCTCATTAAAGACGTGTGTGAGCTGGAGCAAGGGAAGAGTCGGCAGCTTCACTCCTCGTGAGAGCTCGCCGTGCGCAGGCAGCTCCCTATGGGACCACCCCATTGTCGGGTGGAGAAACAGATCCCCCCCATGCTGCCAGCACAGGGGATCCCAGGAAGGCGCCTGTGTGGGGCTGCCCCAGTGGTCTCCCTCCCTGCGGCCCCACTGCACCCTCCTGAAGACTGAACCTTCCAGGGGCCCAGGACAAGGCTCGGTGCCTCCAGGGCAGCTCAGCCCTGTGGGATCGCAGCCAGAGCCGCGGATGGACTTGACCTTCAGGCAGAAATCACAGAACCCCCCTGGTTTGGGTTGAGGGGCCCTTAAAGCTCCTCCAGCTCCAACCCCTGCCATGGGCAGGGACCCCTTCCATAGAGCAGCTTGCTCCAAGCCCCTGTGTCCAACCTGGCCTTGAACACTGCCAGGGATGGGGCAGCCACAGCTTCTCTGGGCACCCTGTGCCAGCGCCTCAGCACCCTCACAGGGAAGAGCTTCCCAAATGAAAGCCTGAGCTCAGCCCGACTCGGATCGGGGGGGGGCCCGGGTTCCGCGTCCCCCCCGATGCTCTCCCGCCGCCGGTCGCTAGAGGGAAGCCCCGGCCCGGCCACGGGGTGAGGGCGATGCCCGGGGGTGCCGTCGGGGGGAGGC